CAGACCTGCTCTGACATGAAAGCCTCTCTGGACAATGTACTTGTTGTGGCATGCAGTTCTTTCTTTGTTTTATACTAATTCATTTGTGTTGGCAAGATTTTACAGAATCATATCGGCCAACAATGTGGTTTTGATTTGAAAACGTGGTTTGAGCGAGCTGAGAGTGCTGCTTTGCGCTGCTGTGTAGTGTGTGTGTGTGTGTGTGTACACAGACGTATGAATGTATATGTGTGTTTGTATGTGTCAGTGTTGCCAGCATCTATCGAGAAGAAAAAGTCTGTAGGGAGTGCTATTACACACATGATGTATCTGGATATATGAGCCAGAAAAAAAAGTTCTGTTACCTCATCACACTGTTTGCCAAAATGTACAATGAGACATCGTCCAAGGGCAAGTGAGTTAAACACAAATGCGTGCTTGTGAGTTTGTTTTTCATTACAGTCCTAAGTGATTAAACTTGAAGGATCTTTCTGCGTGGAGTTTGCATGTTCTCCCCGTGCAGCGTGGTTCTCTCCGGGTTCTCGGGCTTCCTCCCACACAGTCCAGAAACATCCACCCATCCATTATCTATACACCGCTTTATCCTCACTAGGGTCGCGGGGGGGTTGGAGTCTATCCCAGCTGACTTAGGGTGAAGGCAGGGGACACCCTGGACAGGTCACCAGTCTATCACAGGGCTACACTTAGAGACAGACAACCAAGCACACTCACATTCACACCTACGGACAATTTAGAATCACCAGTTAACCTCAACATGCTTTTGGACTGTGTGGGAGGAAGCCGGAGAATCCGGAGAGAATCCACGCTGCACGGGGAGAACATGCAAACTCCACGCAGGGGTGTCCTCACCGGGACATGAACTGGTGACCTTCTTGCTGCGAGGCAACAGTGCTAACCACCAATCCACCTTGCAGCCTCGTCCAAAAACATGTTGAGGTTAATTGGTGATTCTAAATTGTCCGTAAGTGTCTCCAAGTGTAGCTCTGTGATAGACTGGTGACCTGTCCAGGGTGTCCCCTGCCTTCGCCCTAAGTCAGCTGGGATAGGCTCCAGCCTGCCTGCAACCCCAGTGAGGATTAAGCGGTGTATAGATAATGGATGGATGAATAGTTTTAATTAGGAGAGCGCAAGTTTAAAACAGCAATGTCAAAATGTTTCTCTCTCAGCATGTATGTTTTATAATGTAAGATTTCTAGAAATGATGTGACATTCTGAGAGAGCTCTTCCAGGCTTGTGTAGTTAGTCATTTCTGGAACATATTAGCAGATGTGGTAGAAGTTTAAAATCAGACAGTGGTGGCTCGATGTTTGTTCTCTGTAATCAGACGGATGAGATGATTCCAAAACGCTCAGAATCAGAATAAGAGATTCTCTCAGAGCTCACTGATTTGCACAGATGTTCAAAGTTATACAGAAAAATTCACAATGGGCCAGTTTTTTTTTTTTGTTCCCTACACAGCAGAAGCTGAAGTCAGTCTTTCAGAATACTTGTTGCTGAAATAGGCACAGGATTCACTAAAACTCCTATTGTGTACAAACCTTTTAATTGGTATTAGTCTGTAACTGTATTGTAGCATCTTGGAAAACTCTTCTTTAATCTTTGAAATACAAAGCCAACAAAGTTTGTTCATTTGGAAGCAGGACCTTAGCAGCTAACATAGTGTTCCACTTCAGGACTTTAAGCAACAAGTTATTTTTCCATTCACCATTAAGACGTTAAAGTCTGCAGACACAGGAGTTGTAACAGGTAACACATCCACGTTGTCACAACGTCCTCAATAAATCAGAGAGCAAGAAACACGTCAGTGACATAATAGTCTTTGTGAACTTGCAAACCTCAAACTGTTGCATCTGCTGCTCCAGCTGCTTTCTCTCCACAACATGTACAATATGACCATAAGCTCAGTCTGTTTGGCTCATCAGAAAGTATTCTGATGAATGAATGTACTACTAAAACCTGATTAACCCTCTGAATTCCTAGCAGTTTTTCCTCTTTATTTGCTCCTGTCATATTTTTACCCGCTGAACACTTATGGAAACAGCGCAACCGTGACTAGAAGTAGAGGGAACTCAAAAATGTCTTCTGTGCAGTTTGGCACTTCTATAAATCATATAAAAAAATCAACAGCATTTTTCAGGTGAAGACGGGGTTTACAAATACTGGAAAAAAAAAAAAATGTAGACATTTGTTTTCTCTGTATAAAGCCTTACATCTTTGAATTTTTATCACATGGCTGTTGGGTCCAACTTAATCGCTGTTGGCTTCATGGTTGCATAGAGGAGCACAGAATTTCTTGTTTTTCTACAGAGTCTTGTTATGGCAAATGGTTTATTTTTGCAAATTTTTAAACGAGACATGCAGAATACAGTGATTTTGATTGAAATTTCAGAATTTTCCACATAGACGGACACATTACAGATGAGTATTTCAAGGACCATTCAGTTTTTACTGTTTCTGGCTCTGATATATGGTTTTTTTAAAAGGCACAATGCCAATCAAACCCACCGGCTGGTTTCGGGGGTTCAAAGGGTTAAAATAAAGTAAAAGTGGTGGACTGTGTAACTGTTCCACATGAACTACTAGAATACACCTATAATCCCAAACTAATAATATACTGTACATTCGGTGTAGTGCAAATGTAAGTGTATCTGAGGCAATATTTTTTTAATACCCGTCTGTTTTCCTACTCTTTGGTCTGTGGTCAGTTTTGATGTTTATGAAGGAGAGCACATGGGGTATGGCTGGAGCCAGAGTGAAGAAATTAACAAGGACGGGCACGTTTCACTCACATGGTGCTGAGAGGAACTGTCAGTGGCAGGAAGGAGAGAAAGCAGCAGTCAGAAAGCAGAGGGAATGGAGACGGAGGCCAAAAACAAGAGAGCGGAGAAGTAAGAGCGAGACTGAAAGCGTAGAAAGAGATATAGTTTGGTGCGGCTCGGAGCGTGACATCACTGGTGCCAGAGCTGGATTTGATTCCCAGCGAGGCCACCCATACTGAAAATAACACACCCACGCCGCCAGACAGAACAAATGAAACGCTATAGAAATAAAAGGTGAGAGAAAAACGTGCGATGTGCCGTCGTATAATTAGGAATTGTTGTCAGTGCGACCTCGTTTGCTGTTATGTAATGCTGCTGATTACAGAGGTGATAGTTTTCAAGCTGGAAAAGAGTGTGTTTAATCACTTAAATGCTGCACAAGGGATTTAAAGATATACTGAATAATGGTTCTCTTTTTTCTTTTAACCAAACTATCAATTTCAGGTAATTATTAACATTCGGAATCGTCTTGGAGCTGATATTTATGGCGTGAGATTGAAAAATTCCACCATTAAATTTAAATCTTATACCAGCTGTTTATTAAAAAAAATGTACAAATACAATCAATGAATAGGTACTTGTAGGTATTAAGTGATTCTTATTGTAAATGTATTATTGAGGTAATAATTAATTTGGCTTTTAACACGATTTTGCTCCAGAGCCAACTTGACGTGACAAAATACAGGGCATTAGGGGACTACTGGAAGAACTAACATCTTTTTTTTCCCTTTACTGGACATTGAATGGTGCTCTAAAACCGCAGTTTATCCTTCTAGGTTGAAGTGTGGTCTCATTTTGGTCATTCTTTAGTTATTTTGATGATACAGGGCCACTGTGACTCACTGCTCACTGACATCCTACGATGCTTTTCTGAGTCAGTCCCAAGACAGAAAGTTGTGTGTGTGTGTGCATGCGTGCATGCCAGCATGTGTACTTTTCTGGCAGCCGATGCGCGAGCTGCGAGGCCTGTGTTTCATTTCTCTGACTGGCAAGCTGCACAGATCTGCATGGAGGACCTGTGGTATTTACATGAATATGGCCAATTACTCTCTGTCTGTCTTCTCTCTCCACACTCGCTGTCCTTTCCCTGACTTCCATCTGTCTTTCACTGAGACTCTTGATGTGTCCTCTCTCTCTCCCTTTTTTTTTTTTTGTCTCAGTCTCTGCATCCTTGTCTGGATTTCATTTTTTGTTGTTCATAAAAACGCCACTGAAATCCATATTTGCTTGTGCAGCTCTTGTATAGATCAACCCTCTAGATAAGTGAAGCTTTCCCCGCGAGGGTTGACCACATCATACTTCTACTCTTATTATAAGTCTTTCTCTCTTTTTTTTCTTTGACCAAAGAAGTAAAGCAACAATTAGTATCCCCAAAGCATCAATATAAAACGGTCATTATTTTTAAATTGCTGGAGCTCCTTGATTCATTATGTCAGTTTCAGGATGGCATCCAAGATCCTGCTCGCTGCGTGTTGCTCCTCAACATGTGGTTTCTAAGAAAGTCACTAGAACTATGTCTCTTTTTGTGTCTTCCTCCTTCCTCCTCTCTGTCTTTCGCCGCGATCCTGTTCCATGCGGCCGACCTCAGGCAGCCCAGCAACAGGAAATGTTGTAGTGAAGGTGACCCTGCCTCGAGTTTAAATGTAGAGGAAGCCAAACTTGCTGTGAGTGTCTGTCTCCTAGGAGCTTTTAGCGCCTCATGTATTATTTGAAAGGCATCCAACTGTCCAAGGCTTTTCACTGCCTCACTTGGCTAATGTGACTTACGCTTAATGGAACTTTTTGCACTTTTCAGCACAAACGCTCACAAAACCTCGGTACAAATGTAAGAGCTGTCAACCTCCATCTCTAACACCACACGGGACCCACTCATGTTATCCTGCTTTAGCCCTTTTTCCACTCGTTCTCACTTGCATACTGCATAAAAAAAAATTAAAAAAAACAGGACAAAGAGTGATATTCTCATACATGGGTGGACAGTATTACATGTTTTGAGGCCAGGTCGCTGCAGTTCAAATGAAGAATGCGATGCTTTCTATGAGTCTTTACAGCTGGCTGTGGAATCATTGTAAGCTCTCACAGAATACGCTGCATTAAACACAAAATGCGGCCTTTATTCACAAAAAAGCACGCTGCCTCTCACTGGTTAATGAGTAAGCCTTTTTCCTTTCTCTCTTTCAGGTCTGTCAACGGCGAAGAGGAAGTTTGCGGACTCCCTCAACGAGTTTAAATTCCAGTGTATCGGAGATGCAGAGACGGATGATGAGATGTGCATAGGTGAGCGATATGAAATCCAATACATTCAGTGTGCCAGGAGAAGAAAGCCTTTTTAAATAGACAGTAGACAATGCTGTGCCATTTATAGTCACTGAAACAGAACAGTCATATCAGCATTGATTTAAAGGCCAGCTGGATTTTCAGTGCTTCTCGAAGAGTCTAAAATTATGCATCTGCTCTGAATATGTTCTTTATCTCTTTTTGATATCAAAGCCTCCTCTGAGATGAATGCCATCATGCAGAATCCTTAAAAGTGGTGTCATTTTAACTGTCAGACAAATCCAAGAAGGCTCAAGAACAGGGAGAAAAAAAAATGTTAATTCCTTTTCAGCAACTAATAAGTATTTTGTGGTGTACAGAAAGAAAGTACCGTTAGCTATACATTGGCTATAAACCTAAATAATGTGATCATTTGCCCTGTCATTTCAACATTTTGAGCTCTCTTTGTGCTGTTGGGCTTTCTTTGATGGTCATGATATATCTTACTTTTATCTAAATCGTAGTATTTCAATTTGCTTTTGGAATCTTTTGAGTATTGAGGGCTCAAGTCTTCTTCAGCTACCTCTACTGTGAAATAGTACAAAAGACTATCCCTTTCTCCTCTTGCACTTTCATTTGGTCATTATAAGATGTGCAAACAACCGAGCATTTTTTTCCAATAGCGTCAGGAGCATCTGCTGCGCAAATAACAAACCTCTACAGTTCCGTTTGCGGTGCAGATTTCCAATCACTCGTCAAATTTTCCTCTCTTGATTAAGCCTCGACTGTTTGTGTTTTCTTTCTGCGTTACTAATTCTTAGCCACTCACCTGTTTCAAACCAGAGAGTTAACGCACAACCAAACCTGACTCACAGTAATCTACATGACACAAATGTGCAATGCTCGTGTAGAACATTACTATAAATCCCATGAACTCATGTGGTGTGTTGCTGTCCAAACAGCCTGCTGTGTACGAGGGTGTGCAGCCACCACACCCTCTCATGCTGCCTGACTCTGCCTGTGCAGGCTGCAGCTCCTCTCTGGTCCGACCCACCCACTACTGTTGTTTAACTATCCCTGGCTATCTTTCCTGAACAGCTTGCTGCTCAACTGGGTTTGCACCACACCACTGTTGTTTTTAGGTTATTCATAGTCCAACGGATTTTCTTCTTTCTGATGCAACGATGATTTTGCACCAAACTGACCTCCACTACATCAGAAGTCAACGTAACGCCCAACCCTAATAACATAGAAGTTAAAGAAAGGGGTTTGTTAGATTTACATCACGTTTATTATTCTAAAAGTTTGATCTACAAAATTGGATTGAGCTCAATAAAAGGTTTGGCTGCATTATTTGAACTTAGTTAAACTGTTATTGCATTAAGTCCTAAAGTTCTTCTTAATACTCGGATCTCAATTCTTTAACTTCCAAGATCTGACAACTTGAATTTAATGCTGAAGAGTATCAAAGTTGTAGATGTCGAAGTGTTTTATGTGCGTGATCTTTACATGCCAGTGCGCGAGCTTGCACATGCTCATTATGTGCTCTAAGTGCACTCAGTTAAGAACGAGGCGCGTACGTCTGTGTGCAAAGTGTTGGACGGGGTCAGAGGCAATTGAAGTGGAAACTCTGACCCAAACAATGTAGCCGTGCCTCGCCTGCCAGCGAGCGGGGAAACAAGCGCTGAGCTGTGTTCGCTCTGAAAGCACCATAGAAACAAACCCTCTAAATTGTGGTTTCATTTCCAGTTAATTACTCTGCTGTGTCATGAGTTTAGAAATATTTCTACGAGCAGAAACAAAGCACCTTCATCCTCGCTACCTCGCGCCAAATTTGTTCTCTCTCTTTCTGTTTGCCTGCAATCACGTCTCTCTCATTATCACCGTTCCAAAATAATAACTATTCCTCCCTCTCCCTCTTTGTCTCTTTTCAATCATCTGTTTTCTCTTGTGTCTCTTCCTCTTTCCCTCCTGTCTGCCAACATGACTATCCTCAGCCAAGTCGCTTCAGGAGTTTGCGGCCGTTCTGCAGAACCTGGAGGATGAGAGGACACGCATGGTGAGTGACTTAAGCTGTATTTATTGTGATGTTGTGGAAATTCGCATGTCTTTGTGACCCTGGCAGCAGTGCAAATTGTTTGATCCACTCCATTGAAAGCTGCTATTCTCAACAACAAAAGGCATCTCATGGAAATCGGGGTGAAATAATAACTTTCTTATTAGGATTTTGTTAATGTTGAAGCTCTAAATTCAATTATTAGTAAAGCTTTTTCTTTGAAGATGCCTGTGTATATTTGCACGTCTGTGGGACTGAATTTGTGTGTTCCTGTGCATGATGTGCGTCTCTGTGTTTTTTAGATTGAGAATGCCAACGATGTGCTGATTATGCCTCTGGAGCGGTTCAGGAAAGAGCAGATCAGTGCAGCCAAGGTAAGGAGAGTGACAGCACACAGCCTCAGGGACTGGTGTCAGAAATGACTCTTGTTATACAAGTGCTGTGGATCAGTATTGATATATGTATGTTGGCAGCGGAGCATAAATCGATTCGGTACTTTAGTGCGCCTGCAGCTGTTGGAGAGGCCCCGACAAAAACCCCACCCACCCAAAGCATACAGTTTATCGGAATAATAATCCATTTTAGTTATTATTTATTTTGTACTTTTCACTGTTAGGCAGCTGTTTACAGTGTTTTTCAGCAGTTGTACACAAGCTTCAAATGTGATTTATTGAGTAATATTTGTGTAATGATGACAGACTAAGACATTTTTGCAGCCTGAGCAACGCTGGCAGCTTCATATCACTGTAACCTTATTAGGAATACTGCGTTTTATCAGATTTCAAAGTGTGGGATCTTTATTTTATCTACCGATCTGGATATAGCGCTATATTTTAATGTAGTTTACCCTTAAAATTTTTTGGTCACAATCAGCAGATGCAGTAAAATGGCACGTCTACGTATTAACTGGCCTTTTTGAACCAGCTGGCACATAATTAAGTGATAATGAGATCTTTTCTAATGCAGGATAATAACTATGTTAACTTGAGTGTTAGGAAACTTCAAGTCTACTGTGATATTATGAATATTGCTTATCATTTTTTATATTCAATGATCAAAAATGTATAAAGTGATTTTGTGTTAATAGCTAAATATAGTAAATTTGACTTGAGAGTGCAATTGTAGATAAAAGAGGATAAAAGCCAAATGCTATCAGGTACAAATGTGTTCCATTTTGAAAATGTGCGATGTCATGACACAGTGTTTTGCAGATATCACTCATCTTTTTCTTCATCTTGTTTACACAGTTCAGCCACACTCTGGCCTTGAAATAATGAAAGTCCTGTTGAGGCATGCTTGTGATAAAATTCTATGGTGTCAATACACACACGGCATATTTACTGCAGGTCTCAGTGTCCCGCCCTCCACTTTCATTATGTCTCTGTATGTCAAGGTCTGAACCCTCACTAAATGACCTGGATAGGAGATTAGAGGGATACATAATGCTGTCGTAAATCACTGATTTCCTGAGGTGGGGGTCTCATAGGCCAACAGGGCTCCCTCGTGACGTGGCTGGTCATGTTTTAGTGGTTCAGTGGGTATAAATCTCATGAACCTGAACTGAACTACACAGAAACATGTGGTGACATAATGTACAGAAAAAGAAGTGATGATGTTCCTCAACATTTTCCTCATAGACGATATGTTCATTGACTTTTTTGCACTCTAACAACACATTCTACAACACTTTCAAATTAAAGGATGAGCACTAAACTGTACATTTTTTGTGTAATCCCTTGTCTTGTGTAGTAAATATGCCATGTTTCAAATGCTTATAATCTCCTTACAGCAGGTCACAGTGCACTTGCTCCGCAGTCATTAGCCATACGACCTAGATGAGTAGCCGCGGGGGGTTCCCTCGATACAGTCAGCATTAAACATGTTATCACTACATGGTCGGCTAATCCAGCCCCTTGTAGCAGGTCATTGTGTGATTTTGATATGGTGGTCAGATTAAGAAGTGAATGCATAATCAGTGCAGTCAGGTCACCATGAGCGATGTACTAATCCTAGTTTAGCCCTGAAAGAACTGATAATATCTTCACTTGGCACAGTTTCACCTTGTCCTAAAGCTCCGGAGCTGGCAGCCTTCTTACACGAGAGGCGAAGCAGACTTGCACTGAGAGGATGAAGAATAATAGAGTTTCAAACATGCAGCGGGGTTACACATCCCACGGTTTATATAAAGAAAACGTTTGATCTTATTTAGGCTAATTAAATTATTTCAACAAGTAGGCCAAAAAAAAAAAAAAAAAGCACAAGTAATTGCACTCCAAGCTTAATGCTGGAAATGTGAGGAGCATGTTTGCATGAAAAAAATAAAACATGACTCCTGCAGCAAAGACAGATCAATTTCTGAGTAAACACAACCAGCATGAAAGAAAATATCAGCTGCTGCAATGATTTTAGGGAGTTAGCAATGAATTGTTTGAATTATCCCCAATCATGAAGTACTGTGTCACATAAATAAACATCCACGATACGAGCAAAATGCATTTTTCCCATTATTCAAATTTATATGTCAAAGTTGTTTGTACATCAGCATTTCCCCAGTGAACTGAAGTTTGTTTAGCCCAAGTGTTAGATGAGATCAGGGATCACTTTGCCATGCATCTGTGTTTTATTCCACTCAAAGCCCCATACAAGAGAGCAGCTGCTGCACCTGTTAAAGATCTGGTTAATAATACAGTCCAGTTGTCATTTAACAAAATGCACCAATGAGGAGAACATTTACAAAAAAGTCTTATGCCTGGTACTGTATGCATAATCAGACATGGAGTGATGATGTAGTACTCGGCTTCATGTTTCAGTAACTGTTGGCATGGTAGAGCAGTGCAGTGTTGAGTCGGACTTGAATGCTGCTGAGATGAGTCAGTCTGATGTCAGAGCTTGATCCTTTATCAAAACATTTCATTTACTCTGCTCTCCTGGAAAAAGAACCAAGAACATCATCAGTTATCACACTGTGAAGACATTGCCACCTGCTGGCCGAGGATGGAGATATCGTCAAGTAAACAGACTTCATTTACCCAACATTTTTTACCAAAGAATTTGTAACCAAAAAAAGGACAGAGATTATACACTGGTAAAAAATAGCATTTGCAATATCAGTGTAATTAGTGTTTTTTTTTTTTTCCCACACGTTGCTTTCAAACAAGAAGTCGATCATGCTGGCTTTTACATTTATTTATATTCAGAAATATGTAATGAAACCCCTAACGAGAGACACACAGAAGCGGGTTGCAGCAGCAGCAGCAGCTATTTCAAACAAGATTTCCACGGAGAATATGACAAATCAAAGAGGCAGACGTTAAACAGAGGCCTTGTTGTTTAGAGCAGCATTCATCATTACTGATGCATTCTGCAGCTGCTGTCTATTCCTCCTCTGGCCCAGAGGACTCGACTTGTTGTTGAAACTGTCCTGGAAACGAAACGGGATCATCTTACAGTATGCAGCATATCATTATTTTTCCCATTCCAGCAACTGTAAAATTAAAATAAAATGTAATCTGTAAACAGATGTTTGGCTCATAGCAATGTAGATATTGGTTTTACTGGCATTGCTACCTATTATTTTCATCTTTGATTAATTTATAGATCTTACTTTTCACTCTTGTTGGTTCAGTGCAGGAGTAATATGTCTAAAAAGAGACAACTTAGTGTGTTTTATTGGATTGTTTATTTCGTTAAAGTAATATTTAAAGTGACATAAACCAGCAGCAGTGAAGGTTCACATTTAAAGAGCTGAAACCAGCTAAATTAATCATATTGATTTTTTATTTTGTGATCAAATAATATATTGACTAATTATTCCAGCCCTTTATTACTTTACCAGACAGTGCCAGCAGCATGTTATAAAACCACTATCGGCACACTTGTTTTCACAGTAAAGCACACAAAAGTACCTTGTATATTGTGTACAATGCAAGAATCAAATATTCATGTTCTTCCTGTTGCTCCGGCCTGATCACGCTATTGGTGTAGCATAACGAAATAACAATAACAGGGTGAGACAGATGTACAGTAACACGACCACAGGAGACTCGCCCTGATCTCCCTCTCCTTCCTTTTTTTTCCCCTTCTTGTTTCCTTTTGTGTTGCTCTATACCAATATCCGTATCCCCCTATTCACACGGGTTACATTAAAGTTTAATGATCCTAATGTGGCTGTCTATTATCCTATAAAGCAGAACATGTTCAGAAACCAAACAACTGGTGTGTCCTTTGGACCTTTTTCATTTTTTCTTTGTGTTTTTACGGAGCAGAAACACACGCCCTGCACTATCTGTCCCTGGTTTATCATCCATCCACGTGTCTCCCTCTCATGTCAGTGATCTCACTTCTGATGAAACAGTCTGTTGTTTAATAACCAGCTGCGCTCCCCGGAGGGAAAACGAAGTCATGCTGGACTGGAAAAATGGAAAATATTATTTGAAAGCCAAAAGAAATTTATATGAAGTTTGCTTTTCTGACTGTTCTCAGAAGCTGCTGATCAAATTACTTACAATAGAATTTGATTTGATTTGCTTTTTGGATTTATTAGCATGACAGAAATGTTTGTCTAGACAGTAGCTAAGATAGCTGACATGAAGCTTAATTCTTGGGTTTGTCTTTCAGCTAAAGGTGATTTTTTATCTTTGACAGGAAGCCAAGAAAAAATATGACAAGGAGACAGAGAAGTATTGTGCAGTACTGGAGAAGCACCTTAGTCTTTCAGCAAGGAAGAAAGAGTCACACCTACATGAGGTAAGATGTTGAGTTTACTTCTCTCTGCTGCCTCCCACATGACTGGTCAGATTTCTCATATTTTTCCACAAATATCAGTCTGTCAGCTTCCTTAATTTCCTTCCCCGTTGTAGGCGGACAACCAGGTCGATAATGTAAGGCAGCATTTCTACGAAGTTTCTCTGGAGTACGTCTTCAAGGTTCAGGAGGTCCAAGAGAGGAAGATGTTTGACTTTGTGGAGCCTGTAAGATCACATTCTTTCTCCTTTTACGTAATATGCCTATTTTTTTAAAGTCATATTTTTGCCTGAAGAGGCTGAGCACATGTGCCCTTTGTCATCAGTTGTCTGTATTACTTTCACTCCCTCTGACATATCCAAGCCCACCAGATGATTCGTACGATTACAGCCTTCTGCTGTTAGCAAAGTGTGCTTTGGAGGTTTTGTGGCCTTGCTTTAAGGCACCTCAGTGGTAGATACTGAGGAAATATGGACCATTTGTTGCACACAAACCACACAAACCCAACTGCATTTTCTTGAGAAGTGCAAAGTTGGTCTCATTTGTTGAGTCTTTTATAATGTTTAATTTCTGCTTTTTTGCTGGCAAAATTAAATCGTGCTTTTACGCTTTTTTCTTTTTTTAATCATTTCATCCAAATTGTCAACCTTTTGTGCTATTTTCCTGCTCTTATACTTTTTCCTCTTTTTGCTCATCTGCATTTAAGATGCCAGTTCCTCCGTTTCTCCTCATTTTAATTTTTATCCCTTCTTCTTCTACTTCCTTCACCTTTTTCACTTTCCTGCCGTTTTTGTTTTTTTTTCAGCTGTTGGCGTTTCTTCAAGGCCTGTTCACCTACTATCACCATGGCTACGAGCTGGCTAAGGACTTTAACCACTTCAAGACTGATCTTACCATCAGCATACAGAATGTAAAGTCATGCACAGACACACACACACACACACACACACACACACACACACACACACAAAAAAAAGCATCAGCACTAGTTTGCTTGTATCTGTCCATCAAAGTTTAGTCAGATCTGGCAGCTTAGAGCACTAATCATCTGTATCTACATCTGTGTCCACGTAGGTTTTGATTGACAGTGAAAGTTGGAGGTGCTTTACTGTTTCTATTCTTTTTATTGACATTTGTACATGTTTGGGGTGTAATGCTCATTCAGAAAAAGAGGGTAGAAAGGGTTGAAAAGTCATCCACAGTTAAGGTCAGCTGATTCAGCTTAGCACAGAAAAAAGTACAATTCAGGAAGACGTCTCAGAAAAAATAATCCTTAAAATGCCAAAGGCCTGCAGGCAAAGAAGAATTCAAAGGTCAGTTACTGGATCTGGAAGTAACATTTGCAACTAAAAGGACACTCCTAATCTCCACACAAAAGTGCAGTCTGTATAGCTACACTTCTGCTTTTAGAAAAATTAGAAGTGATAAAACTGGAGTAGTATTTCTTGCTAACTCTGTTTTGATTTTTTCATGCGTTTGAAAAAATAAATAGCCTGTGTTCTCTGTACTGTTGTTGACAGACGAGGAACCGCTTTGAGAGCACACGGTCAGAGGTGGAGAGTCTGATGAGGAAGATGAAGGAGAATCCACATGAACACAAGAGTGTCAGCCAACACACCATGGAGGGATACCTGTTTGTGCAGGAGAAGCGTATGTATCAGCCCACGTCTGTATGTGTGAACACATCCCTTTTTTATAATGAGGACACAATCCAACATTAACTCACACCATGAATGAGTCTGTGTGTGTCCATGTAGGTACATTTTGTGTGTGTTTGTGTTGTTTTGTTTGGCTTATACACTCACACAGATCCTCACACAGTGTCAGAGCAGCAGAACAAACAAACCATAATGAACCAGTAGTTGACAAAGTCAAGTCTTATCTGTTGGAGACGTGACAGCAGCTCTGTCCACATGCTGTTACCACGGAAACACATCCAGCACTAAAGGAGGCCTGACAGAGACTTTTTGATGTTTTAACCCTTCTCCCTCCTGCCCCTGTATCTGTGTTTCTCCCCATTCTTTTCTCCTCCTGTATTTTTATTTTTAAACTTCTCTGTCATCATCTCTACATTTCTGTCTCTCACTGCCTCAGGTTCGTTCGTATCTACTTGGGTGAAGTACTACTGTACATACCATCGTGAGCCCAAGAGGGTCACCATGGTCCTGTTTGACCCTAAATCAGGAGGCAAAATGGTGAGTAGTTCTGTCCATTTAAATATGTGTGAAAAGGTGACATGTTCATAAACACCCAGGCTATCCATCTGTCTAGCTATCTACTTTATATCTATATGTCAAAGAAGAAACAAAACGTGACTTTTGCGTTGACTTCTGTAAACATTCCACAGATTAAAAAAAAAAAAAAAACCCTTTCTAGCTTGAGTGTCAGCCTATTGGTTAGCCTATTGTCACGTTGTCTGATTTGCAGTTAGTTCGCACCCAGTTCTGCTGACTGCTGAACACAAAAAGCTCTCACTGTGTATTTGGCTGTACTTTTCACTACTTCCCACACATGACGGAAAACTGCTGTGAAGTTCTGACAGCAGAAAGCTGTTTAACTGTTTTCAATCATCAGCAGAAAATGTCAAGCTGTGTGTCAGTCCTTCAGCATCAAGATTACAGCACTTCACACCACTGTACACTCGTACAGGGAGATACTTGGTTTGTCAAGTGAGAGATAACAATTTCTTCAACAACAGCACCCCTAATAAACAAGAGTGCAGCATTGCGAAAATTATGTTTTGAGCAAGCGGCTCCAACTTTTTTCCTGAAATTGCTCTCAAGAGCTCTCTTCCCTGGACTAAAAGAAAAGAATCCTTATAGACCTAACCTTGTCAGTGTTTTATAGTAAGAGAATCAAACCTGCATTCATGTTGACTAGGTATGAGTGTAAACACTGCTAATCACACAATATCTCAAAAAAGTATAGTATTAGAAACACATACCCAGAAGTGATCAACACCTATGTTTGTGCAGGGTGAACTTCAATATCAAAGTGAAGTTAAATTTATGTTCTGTCATCTTTTTGGTCCAAGACTTGATTATGCTGGCTCACGGCATGTGTTTTATGTGTAAAAAATATGTATATTTTTGACTTACAACATGAACTACCAGAGCTGTCAAAGTGATTAGAACCTTAACTCCAGCAGTGAAGTGACATAAACAAGACAAAACACTAGTGATAGTACACCACTTACATGACATAATCTTGCTGCAAACCCATGATTTTAACATGTACACAAATTTCACTTTCACACCTGATTCTAACAAGGGTCTTATGAAAAGCGCATGATGAGATGAGAGCATTTAGTCTGTGATGAGACGATACTAAAATCATTTCAGTTGCTTGTAAAAGTGCAAGATCGTGCTGCAGCTCACAGTTTAGTCCTTAGTTTTATTTAGATGTAGTTTTTAAAAAAAATCTCCTTTCTAGTCAGTGAGCCACTGCAGGGATTAGTGTTGTTGCACATTTCACAGTTTCAAAGTGTTCATCCAAAATTATCCCTTGCGCTTGGATGTTAGGCAAGTTTGAAATATTATAGGTTCAGTCCATCTCCAGCCTGAGAGGAAGGAGAGTGAGTCTTGTTCAGGAAAACATCCATCATCATCTGAGATTTCACCCATGCTACAATTAATACTTTGCAGTTGTTAGGTTAACCTCTTTATTAAATTTAGACAACAGTTTCATTCCATGTTGATACTCTAACTGCCGTTCTGTGTGTATTTAAGTGTTACCGTGATGCTACAATGCTTTTTTTTTCTCACACTCTTTGTTTTTCAGGGGGAGGAGGAGGGCTTCATTCTTAAATCGTGCACTAGGAGGAAGACGGACTCGATAGAAAAGAGGTTTTGTTTTGACGTGGAAGCTGTGGACAGGTTAGTATTTGTGATTTTTACGACATGTGCTTTTTAAAAGGGAACTTCTACACAGTCCACCCTCAGCTGGTTCCTTTTCACCATGTTTTACTTCATGTCTTATTAATATGTCACATTTATTCAAACATAATTTTGTACCCAACGATCATCTCAATGATTAGCATGAGGCATCTTGCAGGGTGTAATTACATCTAACAGACATGTGAGGGCGCTGCACAGTTGATGATAACTTAACGGTGGGACATTGTGGTGGTTGTCCTCTGAGACTCAGCCTCCTGTGGCGCTTCCCTTTCTATACCTCCTTCACCCTTTCCTCACCCCCCTCTCCTGCCTGCTCATCCACAGCCTTCCTCTAAATAAATCAGTTCACCCTGTCATCATCTCATCAACTTTTTCCTGTCCCCTCGTTACACCTTTATTTGCATGACTGGAGTGTGTGCATTTATTGGTTTGAATTTGTCTGGTTTTAAAGTGGTTTAAGGGAGTTGTGAAGCAAGAGAGATATTTCCTCTAACGACATGTGTTTACACATAGATTTTGTGTTGTTATACAGACAGGGATAAATGTATTTCATTGAGTTGTTTTTGCAAGTGGCATCAGATAAAAGTTGGCCAGCAGCTCCATCACTGTAAATAAAGTCTTTATTCCTGCGGAATCCTGACATGAATAAAAGACTTTACAATAAAAGCACACATAATAAATAATCAATGTGTCGTTCAAAGCTTTTTACAAACAAGAGGGAGTTCACCATTCCAAGTAAATACAAAATGACAATAGTTGCTACAATTTAAATTGCACAAAGAGTCTTTGATTCCTGATGAGGTTTCTGACAATGTCAGTGCATTTTTGTTGTCATTTTATCACTGCGGCTCAGAGTAGCATGAGGAGATGGTGAAAAATTTAAATAAACCCTCTATTGTCTTTTATTAGAAAAAGAATCCACACACTATTCAGTATTTCTCATGTCGGACATTTCATTCAGATAAACCTTTTCTCGTCTTCTGAATTAGCCTCTTTACTATAGCAACAGAAGTAGTCTGACTAACTTGTAACTATATTTAGAAAAATTTGTGCGTCATCGCACTTAAAAAAGCAAAAAACTCTCACCATGAGTCTATAATAATTCCTGTACCTATTTATGTCATTTTCCTCTCTTTAATAGGTGGAGAGTTTTTATGTCCTTTCATTGTAATCATGTTTGGGCATATTGTTTACATTTCACCTGGTGGAATGACACTGAACCTATATATAGTATATCTACCTGGCAGCTTTTGCCATTTCATATCATATTAAATACTTCCTTCATGGTCTGGACAATGTCACTTTTAATTAACAACTCCACAGCTGTCCAATGAGTAATCTGAAGCCAACACAGCCAGCTTTAAGACACTGGCGATATAGAATGGCAGATGTCGAGCTCAGTGAAGCCGGAGATCCGTACTAAGCTGAACTCGTTTTTTTTTTTTTTTTTTTTCAGTGAAGCCGGAGATCCGTACTAAGCTGAACTCATTTTTTTTTTGTTTTTTTTTTGTGGTACAGGCCCCACAATATGGGTGTGCACTTGCATCCGAGCTCATGTGGATGAGTGTGATTGTGTGCCGGCCAGTGAGTCATGATTGAAGGACAGCGTGTAGATTGGTGTGTGTGGAGGTGGTTGTAGTGCTGTGGGGTGACAGCTGAAGGTGAATGTGCTGCCAGTGACAGGGCGAAGGAATAGGACCGATTGAAAACTTGCGATGGGTAATGAGGCTATGTGTGAGCGTCTGTGGTGCGCGTGTGCACACCGAGTGTTTCCTCTATCAAGATGATTTATCTTAGCTGCTCGGTCTAATTAATTCTTGTTAGTTGGTGAATTTTCAGACGCTATCCGTCATCCTTTTCTGATCCATTTATGGTAAAAAATTTGATCTTAGCTGTTGATCATCTGATTTATTGGACAGCAGTGCTGCAGTCATACCTCTGGCATCCACGAATGAACCTGATCTTAAAATATACTTTCTTCAACAAAGTATGAGATTTGCATGCAAAGATCCTTCTACGTAGCTGTGTTCATCTCAGGAAGGGCAACACACCTTATAAGTGAAGTATTTTCAATTACGTGTGTAGGTAATTTAAATTAACTGACTTAAAAACCTCTAATAGAATTTATTTGTGTTTATAAGCTCTTTGTTTGAAATATGATATTATGATTACAGTCGTAGTTTGTTTTATAGGCATATGTGGATATCTGAAATATTCATGTGTTATTTTTGTGTTTTTTTTTTTTTATTCGAGGGCATCTGAAGTACAATGTTTGCCTCTCACCTTGATTTTTGATGAAGTTAATGTACCTTTTGTGTGTGTGTGTGTGTGTGTGTGTTTGTGTGCGAAGGCCGGGAGTGATCACCATGCAGGCTCTGTCAGAAGAAGACCGAAGGTTATGGATGGAGGCCATGGATGGGAGAGAACCGGTAGGTTACCATGGTTACCGGTTTGTTCTTATGTGACAGAGACAAACGGGGAGAAAGAGAGACAGACAAGGGTAGGGAGGGACAATGTGTCACATAAGCAGAGCCAGAGCTCCTCCTTAAAACCCATTTTTTCAGCACTGGTTCAACTTTTTCCATCAGCGCACGCCTCCACATACATAATCACGATTTGGCACCTGCTGACATAAAACAGCGCTGGAATAAAAGGACTTCTCTGAGGCGTCGCCAAATAAGTCTGAGAGAGATAATTTTGGTGTTTATGCTCCTAATGGAAAAGCTGACTGACAGCGAGTCTCCCCAACACTCGGTTTACGCCTTCTTAATATGTGGCTGTTTTGTTTTTTGTTTTTTTTTTTTTATCCCAAGGCTGGAAATGTGTTAGTGCTGCGTTCCACGCTCCATTTCAGGCACCGTCATGTCCCAACACCTCCCTCATGTCTATACAGTATTCAAGTATGCAAAAGTGATCCACGTCCATAAAATCACCTGGGGCTTAAACAAGCACTTGCTGAGCTCAGGGAAACTGTTGTAAAATCCAAAATGTTAGTGTTCACGTTTCATGCCATTTAATGTCTTTGTTGTTCAGACTTTGTTCTGTTGCTGCCAAGTCACTTGATAGTCAGTACAAACTCACCACCGACCACAGCTGTAACATGCCAACTTTCAGACAAAGGAAGTGAATCGTACACAAACTGATGGCTGCTTTTCCATTCATATATTCTGTTAATTGTTGTTTTTGTGTGGGAAAAAGTTGTTAATTCTGACTTCATGTTGTGATATTTGTATTTTTTTTTGCTTGTTTTAAAAAAAAATTAAGCTTAGGTATGAAGGTGTACAACTGACAATAAAAGGTACAATTGAATGTATAGTATGTGCCTTGACGTCATGATGAAAGTCAGTTAATGTGTTTAGCTTTTCACCTATCTAAAGTAAGCTACATTAGCATTCAAAACCCAGTATATGGATGTAGAACAAACAGCACAGCAGTGCATAACAGGTGCTTCTAATGAACTGTTTACGACAGTGTGCAAATATCCTGTGCCCTCATTAAGCCTCACTGTAAATAAGTTTCTTGCTAAATGAGTGGGTGTTGTTTCTTGTATGTTTACAGGTATACAATCTCAACAAAGATAACCAGGCTGAAGGCAGTAAGTGACTTTAATTGGAATGTATTTACTGTTTCCTTAAGGGTATGGTATTGAGTGTTATTGTCTTTCAGTGTTGGTAGGGTGTGATTAAATATAATAATAACAGATGAAATAGCATAGGTGGGGCATTTACTGTATACATGAATGTTAAATTGCAGATTTTTTAAACCAAAAATGTGAACTTTTAAACTAAGGATATGTGTATATATATATACGTGTGTGTGTGTGTGTGTGTGTGTGTGTGTGTGTGTGTGTGTGTGTGTGTATATATATAAACGGCTTAATTAATTCTATTGTTTCTCTGTCGTTCAGTGGCCCACCTGGATGTGATTGGGTTCAACGTGATGAAAAAATTCATCTATGCAGTGGAGACTCGAGGTTCAGTGTTGACTTGCATTTCTTTGTTACAATACGCAGCACTTTATCATTTAGATTCAGTTTAGATGTGTACACACTTTCATGTCCCGCCACAGAGTTGCACAGTACAGTCTGCTGGACGCAGCTGAGTCATTCACAATGTGATTACATATATTTACTTATTAAAAATATAAATAAAATAAATAAGTCAGTGCTTATGTTCTACGCACATAAGCACTGACGTGCACTTAAACAGCAAACTGGCGGTCACACAAAAACTCTCTTTGTTTCTACTTTTTAAAATATTTCAATCATAAGTAGACGATTAGTGTTTTTGGAGTGTTTTTCTTATTACACAATTTTTTTCTTATTACATAATTTTTGGTCTGACAGCAAATTATGAAGAGGTCATTTTGGGCTTTAAAGATGTTGTAAAAAGTATTTTATAGCAGTTTCAGATAAAGACCTCAACAATGAACAAATTACCGTAAATGCAATAGAAATCTGAAGGTATTAAACCCTGTACAGGGTAAACAGAATCTGTGGGCAGAAGTCTGATTTTTGAGCACAACTATAATATATGAGAAAATGTAAAGTAAAACAATGTTAGTAATGGTACTGATAAGATATGTACAGCATATTGACACGACTATAGTGGCATATTAATATATATATATATATATATATTTTTCTGACTTTAATAAATTAGGTGAATACAGGAAAACATCACTCATGTACAGTGTATTTACAATCCTCAAACAGTAAATAGACCAAAACTATCCAGAAAACTAACGTGGACATACTGGTCGACCGAAGAATGAATGAATAAATATTATCTTTAATGTGTGTGTGTGTATTGATTGTACGATTAAAGCCCCTGAACACACAAACTTGCTAACACTGTGTACCACACAATCTGTTGATGTACAGGATTTAAAAAAAAAAAAAAAAAAAGGGTGGGGGGTCATGAGCAGGATTTAAACCTGCCACCCTCTGAGTATATTATCCTCTGATGCATCTAGACATCCCTCTCTACAGTTATTCTGCTAAAATGTCACAATAAAGGTCCACATGTCCACACATTCCCTACTTTCATCTACTGCACTAAGAGCATCCATTACTGCATACTCTGCCGTTTCATTGCTCAGCAGATACATTTACATTTAGATGGAGGATGAAGACAGCCTGGTGTTTCTGAGCCGCCATGATTATTCTTTTCATGTGGGTCATATGTGAAAATTCTAAAGAAAAAAAAAAAAAGGTCATGTTTATAAATCATATGTTGAGCCGATACAGGGGCTATGGATTTGAATCTATGGTTATGGAGATAAGTATTATCTTTCAGTTGCTTCGAGATTTCAATAGAACATTCAGAAAAATTCTTCTTTTTCAGGTATTGATGAACAAGGATTGTACAGAATCGTTGGCGTCAACTCCAGAGTACAAAAACTACTGAGCCTGGCTATGGGTAATTACAGAAACAGAAAGGCACATTTGCACAAAATGAAAATAGTTAGAACAGAATAAATCTATTGGAATTCATTTGTCATCTGTATTTCATGTTTTTGTTTATCAGACCCTAAGACTTGTGCCGACGTGGAGCTGGAAAACTCAGAGTGGGAGATTAAAACAATAACTAGTGCTATTAAGCACTATCTCAGGTTTGTGTGGCACGCTTACATAAATGTGCATACACAATCGTTTCTGCACTGTTTTGCTTATTTGTCATAAAACTGTGTTTCCATATTCATTCATTATGGGTATGTTTTAACCTCAAAGACCTGTGGTAAATGGATTAATTTCTCTTTTCCTGTCTTTGAATTATTCATTCTGTTAAGAAATTACATCACTTTTCTCTCATAGAAATCGAATAAATGCATATCTCTGCAAACTGTGGCCCGCATCCAGCTTAATAAATTGTTAATTTTGCTGTTTTTTCTACAGTATTTATGTTTCATTCATCTAGTAAACTTTTATTTACCCAGTGAGGGGTTGGTTTTTACCACGGATGATGTTTATCAGCAGTGTTTTGCTTCATACAGTTGCATCATAGTTGCATGTTCCCTGTACAAATACATCCCAGTTACCCTCTGGCCACTGTATAGGAGTTGATGGTTAAATGACTTCCACTAGAGCATTACAGTAATTGGCAATGAGATACGGAAGGGCTCATGAGAGGTTAGGAAAAAGGCAGCTAAATGGACGGACAAATGTCAGGAGGAGTAGTGGTCATGCTGTGCTGTGCTCAATCTACTATATCTCGATGTATCTCCACTGTTACACAACATGAGCCCACCGGTACGCAAACACTGACATCGGCACGCATTCATGCACTTACACACACATGCACTTCATTGGCACATAAATGGACAGATTTACAGAAACACCTGCTGTCCAACACACGTACGCACATTTACAGCATCAAGACTCTCAGGTCAGGCCTCATTGAGAAGCAGCAGGGGCCATTACTCTCATCAGGCAGTAGCGAAAAGCTCATGTCCAACTGTGGGGAGCTGGTCTGGTCGACGAAAAAAAAAAAGATGAGAAGGAGAACATACTCGTATGAGCGCTCATCCAGACCTATTTAGATTTATTGATTTTCGCAAAGCAGCCAAACCTTTTTTTTTCTTTTCTCCATACTTTCAAGCTGATATTCTGTACTTGACATCTCCATCTTCTGTCTTTCCAGGATGCTGCCCGCACCCCTTATGACATACCAGTATCAGAGGAGCTTCATCAAAGCTGCAAGTGAGTGTTTTCCTTTCGTGTATATCATTCCCCTCTCAAATCTGTATTCATCCTCCTGCTTGTGGTTAAAAACATTGCAAACAGCTATCCAGACTACTGTGGGTTAAAACGAAACACCATCTGTACTAAATAAAGAATCATATGATTTATAACGATTGCACCGATTCTTAAAACAAATTATTAGCAAAGAAAACCCTTTTAATCTGTCAATTTAAGCTGAAATCTTCTTGAGTAACTTCATTAATGCATACAAATGGATTAAAAGGTGAACATATTTTAACATCTTTTCCTTTCCTCTCCCAAAAAAACGACTTCTTTCATTCGGAGGAAAAAAAACATGTGAATGAACTGGTCATGACTTGCCATTAAATCAATTGCCGCGTGCAAATGGAAAGTTCACCTGCCGAGATGCCCGGACACCCACTGTGCCGCCAGGACACCTCTACCTGTCTGCTTGCTGCGGTTAGCTGAGCCCCCTCAGTGCGCTGCTTTACATTGTGTTTGGCACACAGGATGTTACTGACCTGCTGTGTGTGGGGGGTTTTCATGCAGTATTTATGAGATTCAGATTCCACTTGAAGGGGGAAAAGCCCAGGGAGGTGATCAAAAAGGGATAAACCAGTAAAAGCTTGTCGTTGTCTTGGGTCAGACAGCAGCTGCAAAATGTTCCTTCTTTTGCAACAGCACCTGAGGGGTGCGGCTTATTGAGTCAGGATAAATAGTTTCATTTTCCAAAAACACTCCGCTGTCTTGAAGACAGATTGCCTAAACTCTCCAACAGTCACGGCAATCATTTCAGTGTATTATATTCTTCCTGTCTCTGCTAGGCTACAAAATAAACTTTTACAAACACTACCTGATTCAAGCCTTGAAATAGAGACTTTACACTAATAGGCATCAGCTAAATCCGATAGTTTGAGCTTCTACGTTTTATCGGGTGTTGTTTGATCTAGTTCAGTGGAGTTTGGCTGACTGAACCTGGCTTTATGCTATATTTCCATGATTGCTTTTTATTTTTACAGAAAATTTGGATTCATTCTACCAAGCTCAGGTGCAGTTCAGTCAAAAGCCGGTCCGGTCGAGACTGAAAGGTTGTATCAGCGACCTGCTTTCTTTGTTTGTCGGCAGCTAATCCTCTGAAAACTGAGCTGACGTGTGAAAAAACTCCAGGAAATGATCGAGTGTCTCTGACGGTGTTGTAAGGAAATGGCTCCATGGCGAGGCCAACTGGAAAGAAAATGAAAGAATGTGCAACATATGTGTATTAGACGAGCTGTAGTTAAGCCTGCCAAGGTAGTTTTTGTTGAAATACCAACTTCGACCATCAATGCCATCATGCATGTGATCATGGTTTTGTAATAATCATAAAATATAACGTGTTTGCAAACTGTTAGCAGGAATTTACAGATTTATGCTGTATGTTTCCTGGTGTTAATCTTTTCAGTCTCCCCCGAGCGTGAACCAGTTTCTGTTGATGCAGGTGTCTGCATTGCAATGCCGTGCATCTGTGTGTATCTGCATGTGTGCGAGGATGCGTGTCTGCGGGCATGAGTGAACTTTTGGTTTTTTTTCCATGGCTGATTTTTTTCGGAAGTATGTTTTGAGGACAGTGTCCTCGTTTGAACTTCCTCGTTCGGCTCCACCCTTTTTTGTCCTCGCCTTCACACGTCATCTCCAGCTCCTCCCATCACCAAGCTCATGGACCTCATCTTCCTCCTCCTACGCAAGTTTCGTCTCTACTTACACTCATCCACTTCCAAATATCTGCTGGAATCAGAGGCAAGGGTAGAAGAAGTGGAGGGAATTGGGTGGAAAAAAGGGTTGGTGTGAGGGAAAGAAAGATGAGGAGGAGGAGGAGAGGGAGGAGGAGGAGGAGAGGGCAGACAGAGTGCCACCTGGGTTTGTAATACCTGTATTGGGCATGTACTGGCAAGAACAAACACATACAGTAATTGCTCTGGCTCCAGTCATTAGGTTTTGCTTGCATTGGTGTTTTTCTCACATTTCTTCTTTGATTCTCTCTATTTTTAATCCATCCTCCTATATAACACCTGCACTTGTAAGAAATGCTAGAATCCCTTTAACTGGCTTCATTTTTTTCACCGCAGCAAGGTGAAGGTGTTTTGTAAAGCTTCTTTAAAGCCAGACCGAACTTTTTTCACTTTGGCTTTAGTTTGGACTTCATAATGTAATACGCCAAAGAACGAAATGAAAAGATAAGAGATTGTATAGGGGTGAAAGATGATGGTCATGAGTTGAATTTAAAGCCAGTTTGAGAGTCCGACCTCCATGCCACATAGCTCATTTCGTTTCACATTTCCTCTAAAAGCTCTCATCAGAGTTCCCTTCTTCCCCTCTTCTCCCGTTTTAGGTATTGATTCCCTCATTTAAGAAGTGTCAGTTGATATTTATCTCTTAATGCATGGGTTTGCCACAACTGTGATACCTGATGGAGGGATTTGTTTTCTGCCCTCTCTGCAGAAGCGGTCAGATGAAGGCTGAATATACAGTTGTGTTCAAAATAATAGCCTTGTTTTATTTTTATTTCCATTCATTGGGAACACTGAACATTATATTTTACATCAAAACATGAAGAAAAATGTATCAATATTTGAATTACTTTACAGAAAATGAAGGGAAAAAATGATATTGAGTTATTAAAAAAAAATAGCAGTGTTTGCATTTTTCAATACAAACTCAAAAATTTACTCAATAAACTGAAAAAATGTTACAATTTAGCATTCCTGTGAATCACTAAACTAGTGTTTAGTTGTATAACCACTGTTTTTGAGAACTGCTTGACATCTATGCTGCATGGAGCCAACCAGCTTCTGGCACCTGTAAAGAGGTATCCTAGCCCAGCATGATTTGACAACCTTTCATAGTTACTCTGCATTTCTTGGTTTTACCTCAGACACAGCATTTCTGATGTCACCCCACAAGTTTTCTATTGGATTAAGGTCCAGGGATTGGGCCACGCCATAACCTTAATTTTGTTGGTCTGGAACCAAGATGCTGCTCGCTTACTGATGTGTTTGGCTTTGTTGTCTTGTTGAAACACCCATTTAAAGGGCATTTCGTCTTCAGCATAAGGCAGCATGACCTCTTCAAGTGTTTTGATATAAGCAAATTGATCCATGATCCCTGGTATGCGATAAATAGGACCGACACCATAGTAAGAGAACCAGCCCCATATCATGTTGCTTGTGCCACCATGCTTCACGGTCTTCAGAGTGTACTATGGCTTGGATTCAGTGTTTGGGGGTCGTCTGACAAACTGTCTGCGGCCCTTGGACCCAAAAAGAACAATCTTACTTTTATCAGTCTACAAAATGTTTCTCCATTTCTCTTTAGGCCAGTCAATATGTTGTTTGGCAAATTGTATCCTCTTCAGCACATGTCTTTGTTTTAACAGTGGGACTTTGCGGGGGCTTCTTGCCGATAGATTAGCCTCACACAAGCATCTTCTGATTGTCACAGTACTCACAGGTAGCTTCAGACCATCTTTCATCTCCCTGGAGCTGATCATTGGCTGAGTCGTTGCTATTCTGGCTGTTGTTCGATCCATTCGAATTGTAGTCTTCCGTTTTCTTCCACGTCTCTCTGGTTTTGCTTTCCATTTCAAAACATTGGAGATCATTTCAGCTGAGCAGCCTATCATTTTCTGCTCGTTTTCTCCTCTCCAATCAACATTTTAATTAAAGCACACTGTTCTTCTGAACAGTGTCTGGAACGACCCGTCTTCCTCAGGTTTTCAGGGAAAATTGCATGTACAACATGTGCTGGCTTCATCCTTAAATAAGGGCCACCTGAATGACACCTGTTTTTTCACATAATGAATGACCTCACTGATTGAACTCCACACTGCTAGTATTTTGAACACTCCCCTTTCAATTAATTATTCAATTACACAGACTCAGGAGCATGTATATCATGAATGTTGGGTCTGTTGGTTTCTCTGTCTCTTCTACACCAACTGGTAAATTGTTTGCCATGTGATGATATAATTTCTACCAAAAACAGTGGCTGATCTGGTTAGTCATGTTGGACTGCTGTTATTTTGAACACAACTGTAGAAGTTTATCCCAGAAGGAAGGTTTGATCAGCAGGTATCGTCTCTGAATCTCAACCTCCAGTTCTAAACATGTCAGTTTGATTTCAGTTTACACATTCATGAATTCATTCATTTTCCTGCCACTTGTTTTGGTTTTAGCAGGCTGCAGCATCAGTATGTTGCGGATGAAGTTCTTATTAGATCATTGAACAGGGTCTATTTGTGATGTTGGAATTGTGGTGGCTGCATCTAGCCAGTTGTGCATAACTGAGAAAGTATGTTGTACTTCTTTCTCCACCGCTCTTTTTTTAAAAGTACTTTACACAGCTATTTCCATTACTTTTTGTGTGCACAAAAAGTGTGCCACCATTAACGTGCAGGGCTGTGCAGCAATTTCACGGCTTTTATTATTTATCACGTTCGGCCGTTCTCCACGCACAGCAGGCTTTTCATCCCCCACCCATTCAATTGTGAACATTTGAAAAAGACAAAAACACCTTTTTGCATCGGGGGATCCCAAGGCATTTAAATTAAATCCCATCCAGCATGTTTAGGGTTTCACTGAATGTCTCCTCGCGGGTTGGATAGCTTCATTCTAGGCTGCATCCTAACAGTGTGCTACAACTCTTGGATTTACTTTTAAAGCAAGGCATATAATAATACTTGTGATATACTTTCACTTTGCGTCTACAGTAGTAGTCAAACATTCAAAAGCAAACACCTTCAGTGTACTCCTACTTCAGAACACTTTCCCTAATTTTGCATTAGTACAATTCAACATGTAAACGTTTGATGTCTTGCTATTGAATGAATGACTTATACTTCTGCAACCAACGCTAGCTGTCAATAAATACCATAACAACTACAGCATGCTGTTGTAGAGCATAAATCTGGGTGACAAACCAGTAGCCGTCACCATTGACTGACTTTATTCTGGGATGCTCTGTCTGAGGACACCTGGTCCTGAACCAGCCACTCAGAACCTTAGATTAATTGCAGTTGCCTGGTCGACCTCTGTGCACTTCCACGTTTTACTTATTATCAAAGTTGATATATTTTTATCGTGAATAATTTGATTTATTTATATGTTTTTCATTGTTGTGTTAGGAATAGAATTATTACCATTTAAGTAGACTATGTTGGTTAAAATCAAATTAATGACTGACATGAAATATTTTATTGTGAGCATTTTTTCAGTTCTGTCTCCCAGCCCTAGCACACAATTTGTTGAGACTCTACTTTAAGGTAGCATTTGGTTGCCTTGACTTGCTAGTTATTACCATAGAATAAAAGTTTTTAGTTTTTTTTTTTCATGTTCTCGACTGTGAGAAGTTGTGCATTTGCTGGCTGGAGAATCCTGAAAAGTCATTGTTCAGAGCAGTGAGAGTGAATCTTGGAGTTACATGTTTGAATCCAAAGAAATTCTGATAGATGTCTTGTCAGATTCTGAACCATTTCCTAGAAATATCATGCACAGCTAAATGCAAGCTAATTTGTAGGAACTTATGAAGAAAGTTTCCAGGAGAGTAGCTCCTGTAAAACATCATGTTACCAGCCTTATGTAGCCAGCCTGCATGTGAATCCCAGCAGCATGCAGCGCTGAGGTGCGGGAGATGCTGCACATACTGTACAGGGTGGGAACTATGAATAATGAATTATAAGAAAGCAGGGCTGATGGTGGTGCTGGAGTTTAAGGATCAACTAACAGTCAACTTGAAGCTGCGTCATCTACTTTCTGTGGATTTGCACGTTTGCTGCCCTACTTGATATGAAAGACTGCACTCCATACGTAATCAAAATCCGCTTCTGCTTAAGAGATGCACAGTTTGATAAAGGGAGACTCAGATAGGGTGTTTTTTTTTTTTTTTGAACCAGGCACTGTAAGGAAAATGGGATTCACTCAATTCTTGTAGACGTGACCAATTGTTGTGAGAGTTGGTCAGAGTGATTAATAGGCTTTAACCTCCATTAGATAGTGTTCACAAAATGTCATCAGCCTAAAGAGTGAAATAGGGATGGTAATTGTGTACTGATTATATAGAATACCACAAGTGAAAGGTTAAATTGTCAGTGCGAATGGTTTGATGTACATTTATTGTTACATCCAGGCTGCACATTTCGGTTGCAGCAAACAAAAAGTCAAATTTTTAAGCTATCTAAGGTGCATTACCCTCTGCTGTTTGTAATATAGTCTTGTGTAATCTTTTTTAAATGCTAGAAAATTGTCCCATTTTTTTTTTTCAACCCTGTGTGGCCACAATGCTGTGAAGAGTTTGAGCTAAATTCATGTGTATGCAAGAATTTTAATGGGATGTTGCAAGTGTGGGTAGCTGCGTACATATTTGTGTGTAACTGCTTTTGTACGCATGCGCTCCTACAGCAGGGTAAACGACAAAACATGAATACGTTATGTTTTTGGTCCAAGGGGTTGAAATTTAAGGTGAAAGAGAATTTACTTTGAAAGGTTGACATCTGTTTAGCGAGGAATAACTGTGGGGATGATTGACTTTTGCTTGTTGTAATTACTCAGCACCATAGCTGCTGACCACATTGTTATATAGTCACTCAGAGTGCATGTGTGTTCTGTTTTTTTGACACATCACAGCTGTTGGTTTGTGTATTTGCGGTATGTGAGTGTGAGTATGGTGCGAAATACCACTAATGTTCTTGTTTATTTCACAATGAATCCGTCCAAAGGCAAAGTTGTAAATCAGGTCGAACAATAAAGCAAACCAACATATTTTGCCAAAATGTGTGTGCGACCGCAATTATAGCTCTGTTTGCGAACCTGCAGTTGGTCAGAAACTTCCATTCATGGCAGAGAATTGCAGAATCAAAAACCTAATGCATATGCATGCAATGCTCTCCGTACGTGTGTCCAAGGTTTGGTGGAAGGAAAGGCTGTCTGCTCGTGCATAATGTGTTTGTGAAGTAGCACAGTGAAGGATGCATTGTTGTAAATGATGAGCGTTACCGTTTTCATGTGCATGCATCTTTACAAAGACGTATGTGGGTGTAGTGGACACATATATATGTGTGAATGTTTAAGTGAGTGGTTGCATGTTTTTGTTTTCTGTGTTTGTAGTTATTGTTGTCTCCATGCGTGCATGTATTTACTGTGTGTATTAGAGTTTCGGTATGTGTTGTGGAGCTCATCTGCCCTGTTATAAAATGCCTGTGTGTGAGATGCTCTGCCAGTTGTGGGTGTACTGTGTGGCGCTGACAGCCACAGCCTGAGGGTTGATCTAGTGTGAGTCTGCTGTCATCTCTCTATTGACTGGCTCTGGAGCCGTAACTTATTATAGTCATTCATCAACAACAGGTCTGTCTGCCCCGCCTGTCTACCGGGACGCAGAGCTTTCCCACTCTGCAGCAGCGTTAAACACCCTGTGACAAAACCTACCTGCCCGTCTTGTCTGCTCTGTGCATCTTTCTGTGTCTCTTTGTCTTGTGGAGAAATGCTCTTTGAGTTCAAGTGTCAGATTTTTCTTTGTAATGGTAATTACAGAAGCTCACGCATAAGACGAGCGTTAATCAGTATTTTTGTTATGGTCAACAAATCCAAAACAGAAGATGTGCCGACTTCTTTACCCTGTTTGTGACACTCAGCCACAACTCCTTAAAGTCTGATTGTTTCCCATAAATAGGTACTTTATAAAAGTTATTTCCCGAAAAAAAAAAAAAAAAAGAAAAGAAAAGATGATGTAGTTTTTAACTAAAATGACTCAAACAGGATTTATTGTGCATTTGTGGGGACAGTTTTTGGTTGTGGTTTAGTATGCATTTGTAACGTGTTGCAAGTTGATGTACCTGGACCTGAATTTAACAGCTCAACTAAATCTGAGTGATTCATTTTGTGAAAAAGCTGACCAAGGCTGTTTACTTGAGGTCTTTGTACCTATTTATTTTCGATTCTTACGTTTACTTGAATCTCTGTACCGAGAGCTTCCAAATGTGTACTCATTGACCTCTTAGAGAAATAGAAGCATCTATTAAACAACAAAAAGCAGCTTGGATGCATCCTTGCATTATATTAGTAAACACTTAAGCTGAGTTAAGTTTGAGTATTTTTGATATATATTTTTTTGGCCGTAGTGCCCATATACAGTATGCATCAATAAATAAATAATCATGTGTGACAACCTAAAGTCTGTTTCTCCAACAATCTCCCTTTATGTCTCTCTTTTTCCAGAGATGGACAACCCTGAGGCCAGAGTGACCGAGATCCATGCTCTGGTGCACCGGCTGCCAGAGAAGAACAGACAGATGCTGGAGCTGCTCATGAAACACCTGGCCAAGTAGGTGGAGACACATGGGGCAGAGACGTTTAACTGCAATCGTTTTTTATTTTTTTATTTTGCCGTACACTCCTTTGCTTGATTGCTGTTGTCAACTGTCCTCGAGAAGGATTAGTGCTCATTGTAATCTCTTGACCACATGCATTAATGCAGAGTGTACTAAAATAGAAACCCATTCAGCAGCCACCGAGCTAAATCTGTTTTCTGACTTATCCTTTGAAAGGACAGATGCAGGTCTGTCTGTTAATGCCAGGTGGTGCAGGAACTGCTGTGGCCGCAGTGATTACCGGGTCAAACCATGTCTCTATTTTAAAACTGGGCTAAATTTGGTAGAATAGTCATTATTTTTTCTGTCTACTTTATTTTGCAAGTGAAATTAAGACATGAATGTATCTACAGTAAATGTGTTCATCCCAGTTTTAACACTGAAGTAACGTACAAACTTATTGAGAAATAATTGGATTCTTGTCACTTTTTCAGCTGATTGGAAAGCAACATTTTGTCCAAGGACTTTTCTGCACGACATATACTGATAAGCACCCCACAATAATAAATTCAGCTATTGTTAGACCTCTGCAAAGACCTCGTTTTTCCTCTGTGAAGGCCATCCCGTGACAATTCTCTTATTTTATTTTCTCTCGACCCTGGGCGAATCACAATTTTGCCTGCACATATGGAATGTTTCTATACTGTACACAAGCAGCAACACTGTTTAATGTATGCAGGAGAAACTTTATGAATAAACCGCATTGTCTGTCTACAGGTTACATAACCACAAGAAAACAGAGCATGACACTGTTGGCTTATGTATAATTATTCTTCTAAAGCAGCCGGCCGGCATTGTGTTTTCAGTCTAAACCTGAATCTAAGCCCTCTGGCTTTAACAGGCTTTCACTTCAACAACGGCAGCATGATACAATCTGCGACAAATGGGACATCAGCCATATTTATACCACGTGTAGGCGAGCGCGCATGCAGGCGCTTCGAGGGCATGTCCGTATTTACCTGGGCTTAGTGGATTACACCTGCCGACGGCCGTCATCACAAGCTTATAGGTAGAATGGCTGGATCACAGCACACATCAGCTCTCCGTCTGTTTCAGTTCAGATAAGATCTAAAGATTTACTGCATCATTGGCAATGCATTCATAGAACGGGATACAAGTTTTTCAGTGAATACAGATGAAAAAACAGCTGTGGTGGAATATAAACTGTGTCAAAATAAGACGAAACAACAATAAATAATAGTTTAAGCAGTGAGGATCATAATGGATACGACGTGAAGAGAGTGAAAGTCAAAGTAATTTATTGTTGCCTTCAGCTAGATGTTCTTATCGTGTGTCCTTTTCTTCTTTTGTAAAATTGAAAATTTGTTGATGTATCCCACTTGATATGATTTTGTTGCCTGACTCGCTCACACTTTAAAATCAGTGAAGCTCCACTGGCGGATTGTTGTAAGCACACACACACTACATAAACAGAGAAAAATACCTCATCTCCTTTCTCTGGCATCCTCCTGATTTTTATCTGGCTGTCCACTGACTGCAGGTCTTCCCATTCAGTGTGCGGACCTGTTTTGACCTGATGTTCACAGACAACTGGTGCCTCCTTCGTCACTTTGCTCTTTACTCTTTGAAGCAAAGGAACGAATAGAATTATGTAAATATAAAGAAAAATGATTAAAAAGTTAGATTTTTGCCAAAAATTGCCCTCTGTCTCCAATTTTTCTTTTCCACACTGATTGTCAACTCAGTTATATGCAACTGCATCATTCATTTTGTCTGTTGTTTAACTTTAATTCACCGCTGTGTTGGCTCTGTTTTGTCTCTACCAACTTCTATAGTTGTATCTTTTCTGTGTAGTTGTGATATTGCGGGCTATGTTCACTACCCTGTTGCTAACTTTGCATGACTGCTGTGGTCCTGTATGGGTAGTATATGGTGGGATGATTAGTGCTTCTTTTTTATTGAAAAGAATTCCTAGGAGCTGTAGATAAAAGGTTGATGAAAGTAGTAATTCGCAACAGTAAAGCTGCAGAAAACCTAAAACAATGAGCTGAAAGACACTAAAAAATATATTTTTCAGGTAATGCTGGTTTTAGAGGTGGAATCCAACAGTTGTCGTGAAGCTGAGCTACATTTGAATGTTCAGAGAGGATTTTTAGCTCTCAGAGATATACCATAGGTCTGACATTCAAAAGGAACTGCATAGCCCCAGAATCTGAACTGTAGACGTCACCAGACTAAATGGAAATTTAAAAAAAGAGACTATTTTATTACACTTCTGTATCTTTTTTTGACTTTTTAAAAGAATTTCTGCAGACTTGGACATTTCTCTTTGGATGTGACTATAAGTCACTATAAGCTAATATAAAAATTTTGAGTACTGCAACTTTAAATCTTGTCATATTGCATGTTTCTAATTTGTAATAAGCATACATCTTTCTCTCTGTCTGCTCCTCTCAACAGCGTGGCCAGTCACCACCAGCAAAACCTAATGACCATTGCCAATCTGGGTGTGGTCTTCGGGCCAACTCTGCTCCGCCCGCAGGAGGAGACGGTGGCTGCCATCATGGACATCAAGTTTCAGAACATTGTAGTGGAGATCCTCATAGAGCATCATGAGCGAGTAAGAAGGCTGCATATGCGCAAAATGAATAGCAGAGAGCTTGTTGACGTGGTTAAAGATTAAATGAATTACTTTCCTTTTTCAATGGGGATTAACTGCTGTGTAATTTTTGCATTGAAACAGCAATTAATGCACCAAACAATTTATATCTGAACGAGCACCTGTTAGACACACACATACACACATGCATGCACACACAACTGTATATACTTTATAAACACTTCAAAGCCACTTTAGATACAAGCAGCTTATTGGCAGGCCAAGCTGCTTACAGTCATTACCATGGCAACACCGTGGCTGTTTGAGACCCTCACGTTGTTGCACACAGCGAGTTCAGTCAGTGAATGAAACACACACTTGAACGCAGACAAATGACACATACGCTACACCTGCACTGTAGAGGTGTGTGTTGAAAGGATGATACACAACATGCACGCGCAGGAAACACACTTCACTCTTTAGACCTCCCATACAGCAGCTGTCTGCAATGCAAAACTGTGTGTAAAAACAAAACAACAGGAGTGTAAGTGCTGTGACAGGAACCTTATGACAGCTTAGCAGGCTCTAAACCACACTGAAATGATTTAATTTGAACTTAGTGACATATGTAGTGAAGCATTTGTATATTTTATGTGATCCTCCTAATGGCAGTTTATTGTTCTTTTGTGCAGCCAAAACAGCTAATTCGGTGCGTGAAAAGACATTCCCCAGCTCCTTTTTCTTTTCGAGTTTCGCTATGGGTGTGGAGCTGTTCAAAAAGCAGAATAAAAATTCTGACATAACAGACTCGTCCCGGCAGAGCAGCATCGGTTGTGGGGGAAACAGTGAAAAACATACAGTGTGTGTATGTTTCTATCACAGTTGTGTGCATCTTTGCTTAACTGTAGTTATAGAAGTAAACATAAATTTCAGTAATGTCATGATCAGAACCACAAATTGCAGACCAAAACCCACAATGTCTTCTGTTGTTAAGCTTCTGCGTATGTAATCACTCTCATTTAAAAGGCGCTTTACACGCCACTGCTAGCAGCTTTGTTTTTTTTTTTGCTTGGTAACTGCAATGGTTGCAGTTCAGTTGCATAAATCCTGCAATTAATAATATGTGTAAACTGTATCTGCTCACATATTAGACCATCTGTCTTCTTACCTAATCTTAAAAATGAGTCATAGGACCATGGGTGGTCTGACTTTTGCTTTTTTTTTTTTTTTTTAATATCCTTTTGCTGACTCAGATCAGTCTGCCACAACATTTAACTCATAAGTGATACATTTAACATAAGTTAATCTACATCAGCAAGAACATGCTACATACATGTTGGCTTGTCTGTAACTGTTGACACCATTTGCATTTTGAGATTTTACATGCTGTGTTTTATCTTTGGTTGCGCTCAAACCTGAGTGTCTTGTTTCTGCAGATATTCAGGGACGTGCCAAATTCTGCAGGCGGTTCAGCCAACATGCAGCTCAACCTGTCCAGGAGGAGAAGTGCTGAGAGCAAAGCCCCATCCTGCAGCGAGAGGCCTCTCACTCTCTTCCACACACCAACACATTCCCAGAAAGGTGAGCTGAAAGACATAGTTTTCTTAATAACAGTATTACATTTTATGGATAATGGTTTTCCTTTATTCTATTTTATTCTTAATGAGGTCTCATGCATATCAAATGCAGTCTCTAGAGTCGCAGTGTTTTTTAAGGCATAAATAGCAGACAGTTGTTAGTCAGTGGTCAGTTTGATACACACTTCTGCCTTCTGTTAGTTCACAGTGGTCAGTAGATCTACAGTTTCAACAGGAAAATGACTTTTTTGTGGCTGTAAACACCAAAAAGTTATATATGAGGAGTTTTATATAAATACATGTGAATCTTTTTTCAACCTTGTAGGTGAGAAGAGGAACAGTGTTGTCAACACCACAGCGGATTTGCAACAGCCAGTGTCCTCCTCTGCCAACTGCAACAGCAGCAGCAGCAGCAGCAGTGGCAGCAGCAGCCAAAGTCGAACTCCGAGACATAGTCTGACCAGCAACGATGGAGAGCAGGACGGCCGGCAGATCCGGCCCAGCTCACTGTGAGTAGCACGGTGGGATTATCCCACGTTACCCCATGTAGTTTCTCAAAGATGGGCGTCATTATTTATCGCAAATTAAAAGACATAATAACAGTAAATATGTTTTAATTTTTATCGTAAAAATTGGGTCAAAAATGGACAAAAATAAGTCTTTAAATATAAAATCCTAAGTAAATGTCAGATTCTAAAAGTACTGTTATCTGTGCAGATTCAACACTTTTAAGCCGTTTGTCTAATTAATTACACTTACATGTAATCAGCATCTTATTTCACGTTTTTTTGTTTATTTTTATCGTCTTTTTGTGGCTAGCAACACAAAAACTTCTGGGTGTCTGTGGACCTAAAATCTAAAAAGCATCTTTGTAAAAAAAATAAAATAAAAATCTGGATATTTGTCAAGGAATTTTTTTACAATAACACAAAATATGATGACCACAACTTATATTGCGGAGATCAGGATGATTTGCACACATAATATGAAGTCAGGTGCAGATGCAACAATAAGGTAAAGAAGAGAACACAGAAAGCAATGAGAGAGTTAAGATAAGAATTAATGACAGTTGAACAGTAGGTGTCTGTGTACAGGTGTCTATGAACACGTGTGCAAACATTAACCTCCAGTGTGCACATACAGCTCAAGAATGTATAAACACATTGTTTTGGCACACACAGACACAAGTGTTAATGAGCACATGCACACATGGCACATGCTTTTTTAGCAGCTTAGAGAAGTAAAAGGCCAGAAATGAAATCCCAAAAGCATGGAAAAGAATTAAAGAATGTAGACAAAATCACATTCACATGCATATAGAGGGAAATGTAGCAGTTACATAATTTAGTCAAGTACAGTTTAAATAAAACAAAAAAAAAGACTGCTGCTCAGCGCTGTGTATCTTGGATTTACACTACGCAGCGTGCCCACTTTTCAGGCTGCCTGACCACCACTTTACACAACTGTAACCAATGACCAACTGAGACAAAAATATTTTTACAAGCCTGAGCAAGCCTGTCTCCCAGTGAGAAGTACCATATATCTCCATATAAACACTGAACACGCCCATCCTGAGGTTATTAATAGGCGTAAACACACACACACACCTGCATATGGAATTCACAGTGACACAAGGCTGAGCACTTGGGCTGACACGCTAATGTACCGCTTGCACAAACAGCGTCTTTATCTTCTGTTCATCTCCGTGGGATCATCAGCTTTTATGATGTTGCCTACGAGCCGCTTTGGTGTTGACATACAGCTTGTTAGACTGAGACAAGAGATACACTCTACGGCACCGATCATCATTTACTGACACAAAAGTGACAGAACATTTCAAGCGCGGCACGTCAGCCATGTGATTCCACGTCACTGCTGATTATTTTTCTCCGTCTGTCTTCCCACTGCTACCTCCACTTATTCTCACTTACTGTCTGCATTTTTTAAATTTTTTTTCATCTGTCAATCCTTGATAGTTGTTACTGCCAGCCTTTATTTATTATCTCCCCTCTTGGTGTGAATTGTTTGTCACTGATGTTAACGTCTATCTTTTGAACCATGTCTTCGCTCATCTGTTTACAAGTGAGATTCTCGTCTGAAAGCTGTGTTCGGTCACTGATGACGACATTGGATGAATAATCTCACTCATAAATCAAAGCTACATGTTTGAACATCTACCGCACTTGTAGAAATTGACTCAAGCTACACATTTTTTCAACATGCCTTTACAGCAATGACACATCGTTGTACCTTCACTCTAAATGTACTTCAGTGCCAGAACTTAAACCTCAATGCAGCCAGTGTTGCAGATGCATGGTGGAATAGTGTTAAATAATATTCACAAAGGTCCTAAAGTTGTTTTAATTTGACTTCCTCTATCTGTTGTTGTCCTGTCTGGGAAGCTTATCTTTGGTTTATCATTTGTCGAATTGCAGTGGAATGAAAAAAGCTGAGCAAAAGTTTTGCAGGATTTGGATACAAATAACCCAGAAACCGGAAAGAAATGTAAACTTTTCGTCTTCCATTACTGCACAGTGTAGACAAAGTTGGTTATTCCACCACTAAATGTACAGTATATGTATAATACAATCCCACAGAGGGGAGGAATGGTGCACAGTCCTGTCTGTACTACTCCAATAATTTGAACAAATCCTGAATGAAAAAAAGGCTGCATTTAGCTGCTGTATGTCATAAATCTGAAAAGTGAGACGATGTTCAAACCGCCATCGACGAGCAGCTTCATCCTCTAATTGTACCAAAAAATGCCACAAGTTGAAAAGTTGATGAAAGGAGTCGTATGACTTGTGCAATGTCTGCACTTGATTGTGAAAAAAGGACACCCTTTAAATGTCAAGTGTAATTGAAAATATTCAGATAGTAAATTAGCATTTAGTCAATAATAGTATTTAATTCTTAATTATTTTGGGCCAGGGTTCACATCAGGATTTAATGAAATCTATATAATGATATAAGCAGAGAGCATTAAAATATTGCATTTAAAGAGCGCTTGAAAGAGATGTTCAAAAGCTCTGGAGACAGAAAGAAATGCTTTCAGATTGTCTTTGCGTTATGGGTCGCATCAAAGAGGCATTTAATGACTGTGTTGAACAATCCATGTGACCACGATAGGGCACGTAATGGTGTATGAAATTATATGTTGGAGGGCTTCTATCTTTATTTTCCGTCTTCTCCCCTCTTATGGCGATGCTACATGTGGCCCCTTTATATTTGTACTGTGCAAAGTGGGAAACAGAACTCCCTTCATTAACTCCGCCACCGCAAATTTAATTGCATCTTGCAGTTTCTAAGATGTAAAACGCTGCGCTCTTCGCACTTGGATCATGGCTGTATTTTGTTTTCATGCATGACGAAAGACCAGCGTGTGGTCACAACTCTGCAGGCTCAGTGTGAACAGACACACATCAGAGGATTTTATTTTAGATTTAAAGATAGCTGTTGAGTGATTTCCAGCTATTTGACAGCCGACCACAATGAAAACACTACATCCTAGGGGGAAAGAGAACGTGTATTTCCAAAGCTATCTGGCTAGAGTAGTCAGTGAAGTGTGAATCTCAAAGGAGCTGTGAAGGCCAAGATAGATGAAGCGAGATTCTCAAGCTCTTACCAGAGTGCTCTTTTAAAGCATCCGTCCCACATTGTAGGGAGTCTGCGTTTGTCGTCAGCAAAAATCTGCCGTCAGCTTATTTCAGTTCTGTGTGGTTCTCTACAAAATTTGAAACAGTTTTTTTCTTGGCACCATGACTAGACGACTATAAGAGGTGAAGAGAGATTTTTTTGGGCTCTGCAACAGAACAGCAACCCCAAAACACACAGCCACAGTCCTAAAGAACTATCATCAGAAACAGGAAGAACAAGGAGTCCTGCAACAAATGATATCATCCCCTCAAAGCCCTGATTACAACATCATCAAGTCCATCTGTGATTACATTAGGAGACACAAAACTCTGAGCCTAAATCCACAGAACTGTGCAACCTCTTGATGATGTTTAGAACAACTTCCTTGTCCAACACTCTAAACTAGGCTCAAGTATACTGAGCAGAATAGGAAAGGTGACACCATTTGTTTTTTTCTCCCCTATTGTTTGCACTTTGAAGTTAATCGATTAGTTAAAAAAAAAAAAGGGCATTATTTTTCAAACCGTCCTCAGTGTACCTTTAATGCCTAAAACATAGTTGTGCACAGTTCTGTATATCTCAGACAAACTGGCTCTAAAATTAAATGAGAAATATGAGTTCAATTGATGCAATAAGCACATTCATTTAAATAAATAGTTCAGGCTCTTTTGATCTGTTTGATAGGTAATAGCACAATAAATATTAGAAATCATCAAAGTCTACAAAGGAAAACTAACATACAGATGTTAAAACTTTAACTTAAATCCATTTATTGAAAAGGTGCATCTCAGCATTAAACTAAAAGTCAGATTTTGGTGCCAGGATGTTCAGTAAAATGCTCTTGACAATGACGGCAATTGTCCTCCAGGCAACTTGAGAAAACGCATTTTGTCTCTGATATGACACCAAAACAGAAAATCGTTGCAAAATGATTTCTTCACATATTTTTTTTTTTGGATGCAATCGCTGTCTTTGATGGAGGGATCGTTTTGCATTTGGCATGATACCTTATGTGGCTCTTTGAACTGTTATACATCCTCTAACTCCCTCTAACAGATTCGTAAATCAATACAAAACGAAGAAGATGGGTTGAAAAGGGACAAAAGAAAAGCTGTTTAAGGCTTCTGATGTTTGAACTGTATCTGATTTCAGCTTTCTTACAGGTCAGGGGGGTGAGCTGGACCTGCTGGTCACAGATCAGACAAATACAGAAACGAGTTTGTCAGACAAAAACCACAAGTTTGATGTTTAGCAGGGAAAAGGGCTCCAAAGTACACAAAGTTTAAAAAAGAAGAGGAGAAGCTATGAAAAAGTAAGAAGATCATAAACAACAACTGTGAGTGCAGCGCAGATGAACAGCTCAAGATCACACATCTTTTGTTTATTTGTTTTTCCATTTAGATCATTATAAACCTATTAAGGCTGATCTAAAGTTGAGGAGAACTGAAGCAGTACTTACAATACAATTACACAAAGGAAACACTCATTAGCTTGAGCAGCAATTCTTATTTTGTAAAGTGATGGATTTGGAGCATTGATGATTAGTTGGAGTAATATTTCCTAGTGATTGTGATTTTGATGGTTTAAAAAAAAATAGATGCACAATAAAGAGTTGCTTGCCCTCTTTAAGTCCACATCTACATCTACTGGCATATATTATACTAACACATTAGTCTGTCTATAGTAAACACAAGTACCAGTATTTAACAAAGAGAAACTGTTTAGCTGCATTGTAAACAGTGTAACATCCAGTGTTTTGGAAGCTTCACTTGTACTAGGAACTGAATGTTCCAATGTACTGTTAAAAAAAAAAAAAAAAAAGAAGCTAAACATAAATACTAAGTTGGTAGAAGTCTTGCAACAAAACTTGCTT